TTATTGAATTGCCTTTCTTGATGTGTACTTTATCAAACTTTATTTGAAGTGCGTCTTTAGACCTTTAGAGTGATTCATTGGCGTCTTAATGTATAAGTATGTAGAAATTGTTATATGCATTATACATATTACCAATTTAGGGGCTGGTGTGTAGCCGCTGGTGTGTAGTTAGTGTGAAATCACATTTAGTTAGGGGGTGCTCCTATTGGCAGCTGTTCTAGAACTCGACAGTTTGTTTACAAGACTGGACGACTGCATAGTAGTTTTTTATGGTTTCTCTTCGATTTAGATGGTTTATCACTTCGCTTATACAGCAAACGTGGAGATTTGAATCTTGTATTTACCTATCTGTTAGTGAACTGTTGGAAGGAATCGTTACGCAATAAACGTATAAAGTTGCACTGTTATCGCGGTCTGCTAGTTTGTTATTGTCGGCACTTCGTCGTCTGCACGCGATCTGACGAGAACTTGTACATACAAATAGGACGATTTATTCTGGTAGGTTACATTTTTAGTATCGATTGAGAACTTATAAAACTCATGCGGAATTACTATAGGAAGCTAGTGTTTTCGTTTATCCTAGTACGATTTGCGACTACAATCATCACGAAATGAACAAATCTGAGAGAGGTCCACATGTAGTACCTATATATGTAATATCAAAGCAATCGAATTTGCAGATTTTAACAAGAAGTCAAACATATCACTTTTCACGAAAAATGACAAAAATATTCACCAAAATTAGAGAATTAAAGATCTAAAAAATCTAATATAAGAGAAGTCTACCCAAGGTACATACACACCAAGTATCAAAGCATTCAGGCTTGAAGTTTTCAAGAAGAAGTTGACAAGCCATGCATGGCACAGTCCCCGTTAGTTATCAAATTTAAGATATAATGTTTTGTTTATAGTAATATAGTTGGAATATAACCATGTCAGGAATATGATGATTGTTTAACATTTAAATGATTGACAGTTGTATCTGATCATCTGGAACAGCATTAATTAAAACACAAGTCATTGAAAATGACACAGTTCCCGTTAAGTTCTTTTTGTGCTCGTCATATTAAAGCGGAGGGGTTGTCGAGAGCGTGTCCTTGAAACTTGAGTTCCAAGTGGCGTATACAACAGATTGTTTATTTACATCAAAACATGTGTTTCAAATAGTCATAGTAATATGGCCAAAGAAAAAACAGCTGTTATCAGCCATCTT